GGGGGGGGTAAAATTAACTGACGGTAACGGTTTAAAGTTAGAAGTAATTGCCAATGGAAAGTAAATTACTTGTCAAAACAAATTAAGTTGATTTTGATTTCCTCAAATATAAGTCTTTCACTGTCTTTGCTAAACTTTTTGTTGAGAAACAATTATCTTTTCAAACAAACGATTCTTTTTTTTTTTTTTCTTCCCGGTAGGTTAGTATGGTCGTTAGAATGAGCGGAATCAGCTTTCCCGTGAAGGTGTCGACGGAACTTCCGGACATATGTGATTTTCTGACATAGATCGTCAGCGCAATCAACTTACTTCTTGTTATAACTACTGTTATTATCTACATACAGGTGCAATGCGGCATTTTGTAAGTCCCGTTTCCGAATCGACAAAGCGATTTTGGCCCCCCGAGCAATTTTATGTTTGGGAAGCTTTTGTCACATTTTTGGCTGGTAATTTTCCTTTTTTCTAAAAAGAAAAACTTCCTAGCTGTACTTAATGGGACTGCGTTAATAACTTAGATCCAAATAAGAGATTTACTGATTGTTAGGATGTAGTTAGCTCTGACTTATGTAGTTTGGTAACAAAATTTACTGAGAAAATGATATGATTTCGTAATAGTTTGAACATTGTAAGGCAGGGGTAATGCATTTCACACCCATATTTGCATAATTAATGATGAACTGCTAGAACACCTCACTTGTACTTTATGAAAATGTTTAAATTCCGTACTTAAGTTGTTGAGTTAAGATCATTTGGCGAAGACAAGAAATCGCTACACACATCATTTATTTACTTCACTTTTGATTTCCTCTAGGGATCTCGTTTTACAGGGACTGTGATCCTTTATGACGTGTGTAGATACAAAGCGTGGCATTTGTACATCGACCGTTTGCGAGTCATAAGGGTGTGTTCAGGTTACTCATAGTCTCTCGTTTTTGTACAAAGTCTTTGCAAGATCTTTAAACGTGTGTTCAGGTACCGGGCAACTCTCAAATCTTTTTATAATGGCTCTTTGATATTCTTTGGAATGTGCTTTTCTAACTCCATTGTGTTCTACATGAACTGTTCATGGTTCAATTGGGTGTGTTCAGGTCAGACTGTTCAGATCTCTGAATGTGTGTTTACGGGGCCGTACTCTTGGAAGAAAACAACTACTTTTATTTTTTTTTTATATCTATTATATAATTTAATTACCGACAAAAGAACCCTGCTTTCTTTCTAACTGACGTTATTGTGTACGGGAATTACAAACTGCTTATGACATCTGCACCTGACTTAAAACATTAACATAGATTTTGATGATTTTAATAATCAAGTATCTATCTACATGCAGATACAGGCACACAATGCCCTTATTATAAAATCCATTCCAATTGAAGAATTAAAGACTTGCCCTATTCGGAGGAGGGGAGCTTACATGTATATGTCGGCTAATCGGCTTCAGCTAGAACTACCAAACAGTGCGCTGGTATCTTAATAATTTATAAATGAATTGTACTACCATTGCGACATATCTTTACTCGGACATATTTTACATTAATCAGTAATTTCCGATTAAAGTGCGATCAGCGATGTCAAATTATGTTTGGCTGTTTTAATACAGAATTTCAATTTAAACTTCATTTTAACCTGAGTAGACTCTACGAATGCCGTAAAACATAACAGAACGAAGTATTGTATCCTCTAAATCTATACAGCATTACTGTTCTATAATGCGTTGTGTCTTATCAAATTTCGAATCGCTTTAGCTAATAAAGTGGACCGAGCGAATGGCGTTTACACTGTCGTTTTAAACGTCATAGCCCTGCAAATTATGGTCAGACGATGGGTAGTTTATGACTTACAGAGCTGGGGGGTCTCAGGAGCTAGGGTCTTAAATTCCCCCCCTCCAGACATAGGATTATCAAAAAGCCCGATGGATTAACCTTTTGGAGAAAGGAATTTCTTTCACTTGAAAAATTGGAATGATTATTTAGTCTGAAGTAGACGCTGTGCCGATACTACATTTTTTAAGAAAGTCAGGGTCAGCAAAGTCAGGTCGTTAAATACTGCACAAAACACCATGAATTCGGCAAACAAAGGCTGCAATGACAAAGTTTTAGTGGTGACATCGGCGTACATCTATTTTTGCCCATTCTTTATCGGATACTGCACCATAATTTTGGTAATCATTTAACAAAAATACAGCAATGACAGGAATTGAGAACAGCTAAGTTACAATGCTACATGAAGTGTCAGCATCAACCTGTCAGCATTTAGAAAATTGCAGTTGAAAACCACTTGACCATGCAAAATTGATGACATCGCACTGATAAAAGCTAATGTTCAATTTCTTCTGTTCTATTGGTATAATGTATTATGAACATGTAGAGAGTATTTTGGCTTCTAAAAGTCAAAATAGAAACAACGATGTCTGTACGTCAACACCCTCGGCATGAAACACCTGAACAGAAAGAAAATGTAACATTAATGGTACGATAGAGAAGAATTCGAGATGTAAGATGGTAGCATTAAAACCGCTGGCATGCCTATCTTGATTAAGAGACAAAATGTTTGTTCACTGTCTGTCTTTTAACGTGTGTACCACCTGATATTCATCATTGTGACTCACGTAAGAATTTAATTTCTTTTTTTAGCATTTACACATAGGTAACGTTAAGTGAAGATTAGACCCCAGTCATATACAGGTAAAAGTCGTACACTGCAGAAGAAGAACATGCCGATTGAATCACCTTCAGCAGATCCTGTTGTTATTGAATAATAGTTAATACCTGAAAAAAGGCATGTTAATGGAAACTGAATGAGGACGTCATGTAACACGTCATGACATAGTATATGTACGGCACATATTTTGTATAAAGACCAAAGCTTGTAACTCGTTAATCTCCAAGCAGATCTTTTGGTGGGGGGAAGAGAGTATCAAATTGGCCAGTCTGTATCCAGTTCCCCACCCAAGATCTGCCTCCAGTCGAAACGTCAAAGGCTATTAACACCTAGTTGTTGCCTGATCAAAATATTCTTGCCAAGTACTTTATTGCCCTGACCACCAGGCAAGGCTCTTGCCCTCCTACTGAGTCCTAGTGAGCCAGCTGGTTGAGCATTACAGGAAGTCTCTCTATGGGTCCCCTCACCACCTGTTATTTTGTTCAGTTTAACTAAAGGAAAAGAAGGTGCAACATATGTTTTGTGATATCTGCGCTTTTGAACCACAATGAGCCCAGTTATTGACATTTCTATGTTTCAGCCAGCATATTTTAGTACCAGCATACAGTATTATCTGGACGGGGTTAGGCAAGAACTCCCACTGAGATGTGCGCGGGTGACTGCATTTGTCCCAGATTCAAGCCATAAACCGCTTGTAAAAATCTTAGCACCACAAATTTTTGATAGCTGTTAATAGGGACACAAGGAGGGGCAGCAACACCATTTTTGAAAAGAAGTTCTCCTCCCTGTTCGAGTGCCTGCAGATCTTGGGTGGGGAACTGGATACAGACTGGCCAATTTGATACTGTCTTCCCCCCACCAAAAGATCTGCTTGGAGATTAGTAACTCGTGACCATCAGCTGAACCTGAGTGATGTCGGCAGATTTGAAACGTTATGTTGCCTTTGTATGAATGTTTTTTGATGAATTGAAAAACTTTGTTGTTATGTCAAGAGGTAATGATGTGATAACAGCACACTCTAGCAGCATTTACCAACACGTGATATGATATAAGCACGAAGAATGACATATGAAAATGTAACTGTTGTAAAAAAGATCATACATGGGACGATCTCTAAAGCAATATATTGCTCATATGGTGATGATGTTAATATACCCGAAAAAATAGGATGTAAAACCAAACGCTGGTAAAGGAGTTTGTACTAAGGCTGTACTTGCTCACACTGTTTGATCTGCCGTTCACCATTTGGACTGGAGATATATTTAAAGGATTGAGGTTTGTATTTACTTTGCTTATTCCATGAATACATTTAAATGCTTGAAGTTGAATATGAGCGTTTTCATAACTGTGTTCATTGTTGTCAGAATATGCATGGTTGGTTGATATCATACGCGCGTGTGTTTGTGTACTGCATGTGTGTGTGTGTGTGTGTGTGTGTGTGTGTGTGTGTGTGTGTGTGTGTGTGTGTACACTGTGTGTTTGTGTGTGCGTGTGTGTCTGTACACTGTGTGTTTGCGTGCGTGTGTGTTGGTTTACTGTATGTGTGTATCTCGGTTGGGTTAAGGCAGTTCAGGCTAATATTCATGTTTGAGTTCGGGCGTGCGTCTGCACGATGGCCCCAGACGGCTTTTGAACCCGAATGATGTTCTAACATGTTCGATTTGACGCCATTCGAATAGAACGCGTGTTCGAATTCGGTGTCACCTGTGGTCATTTGTATGCTTTCCCTGTAAACCCGCGTTGCCACGCATTGTATTTACGGAATGTGACTTAAACGGCTTTAAGCGCAGCTGAAAACAAAATAATTGATCTTTAGAGTAATTCATGTTTACCTATTATCACTTTCTTCTTAAATTTGTCCGAGACTAATTTCCATAAATTTTGATGTTTTCTCACTTGGGCGATTTTTCAAATCAAAAATGGCCAAAAATAGCTGTTTCTTATGATTTTGACCTAAAACTAAAACAAAATACCAAATTTAAACAAAAAAAAACATCAGCTTAATTGTCATCTTGTAGAATATAGCGATAGATAAATTCATGAAATAAATGGCTATTTTAAGCCAAAATGTTAACTTTAAACCCAAAATCCAGGTAAAGAAAACTCACGTACCCTTTTTTTTCAATGTGTTTCTAGTATCGGTATCTAGTTTTCCAGGTCGGTAAGATCCTTTTGAATGTTAGAGGGTGCAGAGATCGGGTGCCTGACTTCAAGAAGGTTCAGGTCATCTGCGAACTTCCAACGCTTACAGACTGCGTGACGAGCAGCACCGTTGATATAAGCGATGAATATCAACGGACCAAGTAGGGTACCCTGAGGAAGGCCGCATGTAACGGTGACGCTGTCAGAGAGTGTTCCATGGTACCGGACCGACTGACGCCTAGATCTAACAGACGACGAATGGCGGTGGTATGACAAACCCGATCAAAGGCACTGCTGTAGTCTGTAGCAACCCATGAGCAGATAGTACCCGAGTTTTCAGTGGCTTTGAAAATCGCATTGGTTAACTCCAGTAAACAGTGAGTAGTGGATCTCCCCTTTAGGCAGCCGTACTGTTGGGTGTCGATTTGTGAGCGAATGTCCGACAGAGTCCAGTGGATGACGAAGCTTGGAAGTTTGAGAAAGTTA